ACGACGATAGAGCAAAAACGAAAATTTTCACATTTATTTCGCTGTCTTTTCAAAGTACGCAACCACACAGCGAACAAAGATCTATGAAAATGAAAATATGCCTGAAAAATTAGAAGAAAAGAGCCATTGAATGATATAAGTATTGTTTATGAAAAATGGTTTCTTCCTCCAAAATGGGCAGTTCAAAAAAAGGTATCGAAAACGGGTAGAACTTTTGAAACAACCCAATATATATATATATGATTCGTATAGTAGCGCAGACCCCCCACAATGGTCGGTCGCCTCATCGTGGCGTGGGGGTGACACTGGGTGTCGAACTGCGATGCACAGCCGAGTGTATACTCTGGCAGGGCCTCCCAAGCTGTGAAGGAGTTCGACGTTTCCGGTTTCGGCCGGATGCCTAGCTAAGAACCGGCCACGCCAGATCCCCCGCCGTCTGGCTTCTTCTGGTCGCTAGGCGGTCCATCCCCGCTCCAAGCCCGGGGTCAGCGATCGCCCCGTGGAAATCAAGAGTAGGCCTAGTAAGCCACCTCTTGTAGGGGAAAAATTCATATTACTCCTCCAGTTAGAAGATTAGAAAGAAACCCTGCACATCGTATCCCGCCTACGGCGCCGGGTGGTAGCAAGAACGATGTCAGGGTACTCAGGGCGCCTTTCGGATTGGACAAATACGACACGTCTGCCCGGACGACACGCCATGGAGACTGCCTCATGCTCTGCACCTACAACGCCAGGACAGTCTCCACACACGCCGACCTCCACGCTCTTCTCGACGCTGCAGAGCACATCAACTACCACATCATCGCTCTGCAGGAAACGAAGTCCAGGAAGAAGGACGTGCGACAGATGAGTGATGGGACCCTCATCATTCGTGGTGAAAAGGTTCCATCGCGAAACGTGGGAGGCGTCGGCTTTGTCGTCCACCCATCTATCGTCCATCTTGTCGATTCGCACGAGATCCTATCACCTCGACTAGGCATCCTACGACTACGCCCTCCACGTCAGAAGACCATCAGCATCATCAACTGCTACTCGCCAACATCAGTAGCTGACGACTCAGAACTAGATGCTTTCTACGAAGACGTGGAGGAGGCGTCCGCAACGAAAAGTCCTTCTACAAGTATGTTGTGGGCGACTTCAATGCGAAAATCGGGATGCCACTAGAAAAGGAATATAGGATCGGGAAGTTTGGATATGGGCTCCGGAACGAAAACGGCAACCGTCTCGTTGAGCTTCCCTCCGCCGCACGACTCTTCCATGGAAACTCCATCTTCATGAAGAAAGAACATCGCCGGTGGACTTGGGAATCGCCCAACGGAACGACTCATGCTGAGATCGACCACATTCTCACTAAGCGAAGGTGGAGCTTACTCGATGTCTCTGTAGTTCCATCCTTCTGTAGTGGCTCCGATCACCGCCTCCTTCGAGCGAAGATACGACTCAGCCGAAGGCTGGAAAAGAAAGTCTGTCATAGTGCCGCGAGAAGGAAGGAAGTCGTTTATGACGGTAACAGGCTGGAAGAGCTCATATCAAGTTGTGACTGGCCCATCGAGGAGGACCCAACGTACGACTACGACCGGCTTCTGAAAGGATTGCGAGCCTGCGGAGAATGCGCCTCAATGACTTCTGAGAAGAACTTGGAACGCATTTCGAAGACCACCAAGGAATTGCTCGAAAGAAGAAGATTGTTGAGGCAGGATCCGAATGCAACCCTCTCGAGCGACTGATAGCCAACGCCAGTTGCAGAACAGCTTTGCAGGAGGATTTGAGGAAGTACAGGCAAAGCAAGATACTGGAAGCAGCCGAAGGAAGACGAAGTCTCAAGAAGTGCCGAAGGGACCTCTGTGAATATCACGTACCGCTGGCTGCACTATTGAACGAAGACGGGACTCCGACTTCTTCTCGGTATAAGATGGAATCGATCGCGAAGAACTTCTACACCAACCTCTTCCGCTCATCAACACCCGTGCCGATGCCCGTTGTTCCCGCTGGAGAAGTACCACCAAGGATTCTACCTGCTGAAGTGCGTATCGCGATACAGACCATGAAGACGTCCACGGCTCCAGGACCAGATCATGTTTCCGTCGAACTTCTGCGAGCCGGAGGACACCGTCTACACGAGATTCTAGCGTCGCATTTGACATCTTACCTTCAGAAGGAGAAGATTCCCGACCAGTGGAGAACGTCAAGAACCGTCCTTCTCTTTAAGAAGGGTGAACGGGAGGATCTTCGGAACTATCGTCCAATATGCCTGCTGAGCGTGCTATACAAGCTTTTCACGAAGATTATCCTCGCTCGCATATCAAGGACACTGGATGAAGCCCAACCCCAAGAACAAGCTGGATTTCGCAAAGGATTCAGCTGCATGGACCACATCCAGACCGTTTCGAGGGTCATAGAAGTCTGCCGGGAGTACCGACTGCCTCTCGTCCTAACCTTCGTCGACTACGAGAAAGCCTTCGACAGCGTCGAAACCAACGCCATCCTGTCAGCGCTAGTCGATCAAGGAGTGGACCCAGCCTACGTGAGGACACTAGCCAACTGCTAAAAGGACTGTACAACAACGATGCAGCTGTTCCATCGCCCCCTGACCATACCAATCGGGAAGGGGGTCCGACAAGGCGACACAATCTCGCCTAAGCTGTTCACCGCGGCCTTGCAGTGGATGATGAAGCCACTGGACTGGGACGAGAGAGGCATACGAGTTGATGGGAGATTCCTGTCCAACCTTCGTTTTGCGGACGACATCGTTCTCTTCTCGAGCAGTATCACCGAAGCAGAGACGATGCTGAAGGAACTAAACGAAGTAGGGAAGAAGGTCGGACTGCGAATAAATCGGAAGAAGACTCAGTTCATGAGGAACGCCCTTTGCGAAGATGCAGAAATGGAATTAGAAGGCACCCCTATCATGGAGACGTCTTCTTACGTGTATCTCGGGCGTTCGATGAACATGGAGAACGACTTGAGGGAAGAACTTAACAGGAGAAGAAGAGCAGCCTGGGCCGCCTTCGGGCCTCTGAAGGAAGCCACCGACCAACTGACGGACCCGGAGCTTCGTGCCCACCTGTTCGACTCAACCGTTCTCCCGGCGCTCTATTACGCAGCTGAGACTTGGGCCGATACCGTAGCCACGTCGAAAGCTTTACGGACCACCCACAGAGCGCTCGAGCGCAGTCTTCTGAAGATGACCCGAAGCAAGCAACATCTAGTCGCACTTCGCAGTACGGATTTGAGAAGAATGTCCCGTCTTCGTGACCCAGCGGAATACGTTGCGAAAGCCAAACACCGATGGGCCGGTCACATAATGAGAAGAACAGACGACAGATGGACACTAAGAACATCTGAGTGGATTCCTCGCGAAGCCAAACGTCCTCGAGGAAGACCACCGACGAGATGGGCAGACGTGTTCGTGGAACGGATGGACCAGCTGAGAAATCAGCTGGATACGACTTTCGCCCCTGGAACTCGTGGACGCAGCCACCGACGACGGCCAAGAAGATCGTGGATGTCTGAAGCGAGGGACAGGGAAAAATGGCAACTTCTGTACTGGGGCCCGCACGTCACGTGAGGACGGGCCATCTAAGTACCTAAGTAAGTAAGTAAGTAAGTAGCGCAGACTTAGCATGTTATCGTAACCTAATATTTTCGCAGTATATCCTTGCATAGGTATGGAAAAACGAATACATCTAGGAGAAACGATTCTGAATGGAATTCCTACTGTTTGCACTAGAAGGTTTAGCAGTGGCAACAATATGAAAAACACATATTAGATGGGTCCGAAGTTCTGTCGTTTTATTTTCAAAAATTTGTAACTTTGCGCTATTTGAACGGATTTGCTTGCTTGTAATTTTATTAGAAAGAAAATTTCCTTCGCTTTCAGATAGCGTCTTGATGAGCTTCTGATCCGCACTAGGTGCGGAGAAAAAAATGGAAAACTAAGACCATATAAGCTTTGACCATTTTAAGTTAGGTCACCAAAAATCGGGAACGCTGCAGAAAAATCTGAAATCGTCAGTACATATGTTTTTTGGCCTACCCTTCGCAACTGTGAAAAGTTTGTGCTGTTTGGACGTTTTTTTGAGAAGTTATGAATATCGAGTTTACTATGGAAAACGCCAAAATTAATTAATTTGTCAATTTTCGCGAAAATCATAACTTCTCACAGAGACGTCCAAATAGCACAAAGTCTTCACAGTTGAAAAGAGTAGGCCAAAGAACATATGTACTGACGATTTCAGATTTTTCTGCAGCGTTCCGATTTTTGGTGACCTAACTTAAAATGGTCAAATCTTATATGGTCTTAGTTTTCCATTTTTATCTCCGCACCTAGTGCGGAACAGAAGCTCATCAAGACGTTATCTGAAAGCGAAAGAAATTTTCTTTCGAATAAAATTACAATCAAGCAAATCCGATGAAAATTCCCGAAGTTACAAAATTTTGAAAATGAAACAACAGAACTTTCGGACCCACCTAATGTATCCAGGTGTCTGAAGGTAAGTTAATAAGATGTGGCAGAAATTCCCAAAAGGCGCGACAGCCACAGCTTTTCCGAGGTTGTGCCCCACCTCATTAACCTACCTCCAAAAAGGATTTCAGCGAATAGAATGTAAGTAGTCCAATAACCAAAATTCTCGTTGTTTTCATAGTAGTAATTAGAGCTCGATTCGTCCTCTTTCTTTTGAGTAATAGCTGCAGGAAGCACAAGCACGCAGGCGAAAAATAAGGCAAATAAGATTTTGGCTGGCTCCCTTTCATAGTTCGATGGTTCTTCGAAGCAGGAGTGCCTTATTCTCCTTGCTTCACCAGCATGGCTATAGCCGAAATGAAGGCACAACAGCTTTCGAGGAAAAAAGTTGATTCTCTATTTAATAAGAGCGTTGGCGGCTGTCAAAGCTAAAACGTGTCAATTTTTTAATATCTTCCATTAACGAATGCTAGCAATGATATTGCTGTGGTATATTGAGAGCACTGTATGAAAAAGTGATAAGCCCGCCCACCCTATCATGAGAACATAAAATGAAGCTCTGAGAGAGCAAGTCATTCGATATGAGGTTTTGTTTAGTCATAACGGTAATTTTGCCTTAGAACTTTACTGAGATATTAGAAACGCTTACGATAACCATTTAAGGTGACATCTTTATCGTTGGCGTCTTCGCAATTTCCAGGTGGGATTTAACAAGACTTTACACTTTAGTAAAGTTTTTAAAGCAGTGTTTTTCAGATTATAGCCCCATTTGTTCCAAAGATGGATTTACTGTCTATGATAGCGAGATTGTATTGGAAGCAGTAAATGGCGAACGAGAAAACTTGAGAAAGGGAACTCGGCAAAACGGTCCCAATGGAGATAACTTACCTGCAGCATGGGACATGAAGACATTGGTTGGTTCAAAACATTTTCTTGTTAGCTCGCTTTTACATACTAACATGGGAATGAGAATATTACATACTGCGCTCAACGTCATTTCAAAGTTTTGTCATTTGTTCATGTTCTCTTGCCTGAATGCTGAGTAGTATTTGATCTCAAATTTTTTTTTTTCAGAAATGGAATTGTGAGCTGGAACAGCTAGCCAGGAATGCTGTAAAGGGATGTCCTGAAAGTATTCAAGAGATTGATAGTGCTAAGCGACCACAGGGCAAAGCGGAAATTTTTACCTAGTTTGTGATTTCCAGCAAGCTTCTAAAGCTCAGATTATGTTTATTCAACCACACTGAAAAGTTGGAAAGTTTTACGGGAACTAGGAGGGTAATCGGGGTTTGGTTTTCTCAGTGACAAGAGCTGGGCCAGTTTAAAAAAAACTTTCTAATAGACGTGCTAGTGTTGAATTTCACGAAATTTTCCGCACACCTTTTTCCGACAACGTTCTACTTTAAACGCATACAACAATGTAAGTGCCTACCGCTCTTTAAATGGGGAAAAAAGACGCACGGTGGCCCGATTTATGTCATCGCCGTAGCGTGGCCATATCTCGCTTTAGAGTGGACGACTTCTTAATTCAGAAAAGGAGGCGGCTCGGCGGGGCGAATCTTTCCAGATTTTCCAAGTTTTTGCTCACGGCAGGTTACTCGTGAGTGCAATGAATAAGCACAGCGTTGTGTCCAGGCGGGCAATTTATATATCAGAAGATGCCCCACGCCAAACTAAGTCGAATGCTGCCCTCAGATTGAAAAATTGTCCACATTGAAGCGAGATATGCCACGCTACGGTAATGCCACATGTATCGGTCAACCGTGCGTCACGAACTACGAACGGTATTGCATCATGATCACATGCCAAAGAGAAGACATGGTTTTTGTGCTCTCAAGGCTTCGCATACAAACGCTCATTTTCAAAATAGTCAAGAATATCATGTCCATTAACGATTTCATGTGAGATTATCAACAAGCGCATGAGCCTAAAAAACGGATTGTTTCACAACACTTCCAGTTGAAATTTGCAAGAATATCAATCAGAGGTGCGACTAATTATTTTGCAGATTTTTCTGAAACAAGACTAGTGTAATTCTGCTTGGCGGCTTGTCTTTCAAGGCAGAAAAAGCTTTATGATTAAGTCAGCTACTGTTCACTAAGCAGAGTGAAACAAGCGTACTGGTTCAGCTACAGGGCTTATCAATTGCAGTGTCGGGTGCACCAGCATTTCCACTCCCGCGCAGGACTCCACCTCTTCCACGAACATGCTCTCTAATCATATCCAATCTTTCCAACCGCTTCTCTCACGCTCGCGGCGGGAAAGTGATCGAAGAGCATATTTGCGAAAGAGGTGTAAGCGGCCACGCGGGAGCGAAGTTGCTTGTGCTCCCCCGACACTGCAGTTGATAAGCCCTGTATTTCCTCAACATTCTTGTTAACTAATGGAAAAGGCAGAGGGGCACAGGTGCATATGTAGAGGCTTATTTGGCGTTTTTATTCCAGTCGTAATCAAGATTTTTGCTTGATCAGAGCAACATAGACGTGGTCAAAGAATAATGCTGAAATCAAGATATTTACCATTTTACTTCAAGCAGCATGGATAGACATGACTGATAAATAACCCCTTCAATACGTTCAACGCAAGAAAAAATAGGCATATTGCTGAATCCAGTACAATCGCAATTTGCATTGTTTTCAGTTATAAGGATACGAGTGATACGTCTATGGCTCCACCACTCATGAATAACATTCACGCATTGATTAGTCGTGATAGCATCACGCGCGAGGGATTCAAGGAGATTAGTGAAAACGGGATCAAGTACAATGATGAGACAAATCTTGCAAATTATGCAAATGTGAGTTGTACGAGTTTGATTTGCAAAAGTGCAGATTGCAGAAAAGGTTTATATATATCAGAAGCGGATGATGGTTTTAGCTTGTCAGAGCGAGCACGACCGAAATAGGATGCGCGGAAGGGGATTGTAGCGGTTTAACAGATGCTCTATACTGCATCACTAACCAACCGTAAGTTTTCCACATCAAGAAGAAGCAGGTAATTTTACGGCTCACGATGAGAGAACAGTGAAAGGGCCTTTTATACTTTGGGGGTAATTATTAGGCCGTTTGGATGCGATTTTGATCGAACGAGCGCCAAACTACGAGGAGCGAAGATTCATAGAAGGTACTGGTAACACTAAATGGGGTTTTTTTCTTGCTCTTTCATGCGGTTATATGTTGTCGCAATATAATCGACGAGTTCTCAGAAATTTACGAAAAGCGCGAAGTGCGACCTATGGTTTTTGCAATGGTCAAGTTTCTCTAATTCCTAGAATTCTTATAATAAATCTCCAAAGAAGTCCAAATGGCATCTTAATCGAGCAAATTCTAGAAATTGCATAAGAAAATTTCCTTCTATAGCCTGCTTCAGAAATATTCAAAGTCGGCTCTTTGATACTGTCAGGTTCATGATTGATCAACTCAAACCTTCCTCTTGGTACGTTGTCCGGCAAGCAGCTCGGGTAATGCAGCTTTTTATCCTATTTCTAACGGGTGGTTTTTGCTTCCGACTCATAAAGTTTAAGAGATGAAATCGCAATAATTTATGTTTTTGACTTTGAATATTTCTGAAGCAGGCTATAGGAGGAAATTTTCTTATGCAATTTCTAGAATTTGCTCGATTAAGATGCCATTTGGACTTCTTTGGAGATTTATTATAAGAATTCTAGGAATTAGAGAAACTTGACCATTGCAAAAACCATAGGTCGCACTTCGCGCTTTTCGTAAATTTCTGAGAACTCGTCGATTATATTGCGACAACATATAACCGCATGAAAGAGCAAGAAAAAAACTCAGGCTATATCCGAGCTTGAGATTTGGTGTTTCGACGTAAGCGCTCATTTGCCTTGTAGAGCTGATGTTCATTTTTAATGCTGATAGTTTTGAATTCTGAAGGTTTACTGGTGTTTGATACGTTTGATGAGGTACTTACTTACTTAGATATTTGAAGCTCTCTTAATTTTGTAGAATATATTTATCAACACTATTTTTTTGCAGGCCTACCTCATACACTTAGATATTTGGACCTAAATGTATGAGATGGCCTGCTGAAATTGAGTAATGTGATAGATGTTATCAATAAATACAGCGACATGGAGAGGAGCTAAACTAAACTGTTTGTATCCTGTAGGGTTTGCTCCATCCACACGACAGTTGAACTTTTTCGGAATAAGACTGAAAATCGATGAGCGAAAGGATTTGGCAATTTTCTAAGAGCTCTCGTTGACTAAGAAAGAGCAAGAAAAACTAAGTCGAATGTTGCCAATATCAATATTGTTCCTCGGAGCTTGGCGTTGTGTCAAGGTGCTTTTGAGACAACCTAATAGTTATTAGTAGATTTTTGAGCCTCATTTTCTCTTTACCTCGGCGTAATAAAATGTCCTTGTTCTTGAAAGGATTGCTGTAAGGACTGTAAAAAACAGTGAGTTTGGCAAGTTTTAAAATACTACTATACGATATCCATCTTTAACGTGTCGTGGCCACACATTGTAAGTCAATGTATCTGATCGGTTTGCGAAGATTGCACAATTGGAGCAAAGTTGAAGACTCACTTAGTCTCTAGGCTAAAAATGCTGACGATGAATAGACGATGATTTTGATTTTCTGACATTAGATATAATGTTAAAAACAATGAGTTCCAAAACCTATAACCATAACCAAAACCTATCAGGTTCTCGAGAGAGTAATGACGTTTTTTTCGTGTTTTCGGAGCTGAAGCTGTTACTACACTGTAAATAGTGCTGCAAGTGTGTAGGTTTATTTTTGTTCTCCCGGAAGCTTGTAGTATACAGCAGCATATGCGTGATAAGTTCTTCTTTCGTCTTCGTCACTGAAGCTGCATATGTGATGTTGATTAGATGCACTGATGTGTAGCAGTGTACGTATATATTCTTCCACACTTCTCAATAAGTCAGCACTGATGGAGTTAATTCAAAATCTTCAACATTCAATTGAGTTTTCAGGCATAATTTTATATTTATACTAGATGGCAAACCCGGCTCCGCCCGGGACCAAACTTTGCACACATACACTTCGGGGCAGGGAGCGTGTCATAGTCCACTTTTCGTTATCGATCGATGTCGATTTTACCGATTTTTTGCAAAATTTGAGCTAGGGGGCTAGGATTTTGCACAGGGGGGGGGGGTAATCGAGCATGCTGATCAACCCCTCTGGGGTGTGTCAGTCTCCATTGTGCATCTCATATAGGCTTTCTAAACGCTTTTGACTTCATTCAGAATTTTTGGAAAAGCTTTCTTGTGTAGAATGCAAATAACTTAGTTGCACTCGCAATATGTTGTTGCCTTATTAAGGCATTTAATATGCTCATTCACAAGTTCAATCGTGCATTTCTTAGCCGCTTTTTCAGAAGCAAAATAGGCCTGTATGCACTAACATCCCTGCGGGGCGAGGGGAGCGGCGTCCCCCATACCAAAAGGCCGCGAGCGGACACCACCGCGTCTTTTACATCGTTAATGAACCCAAATGAGTGACATCGCTCCCCTCGCCGCAGGGATGTTAGTGCATAGGGCCATATTCAGAAACTAGTTTTTTGTCTTCGAAAAAGCAAGATACGATGATTATGAGGATACTCCAATGTGGCAAGCGAAACTAATGAAAATCTACTTTAGGCCACTTGCTGCAGGCGACTACGTCAGCGGACAAGGTATGGACAATAATTGCTGCTAAATTTCTAGCAGTCTGAGTATATGACTTGGCAAGTGTAAAGCAGGAATAGAAAAAGACTTATTCAATCAATAATCAGGGCAGGAGAAGTGCAACGATATCATCACTAAAAACTTGTGATATTAGCAAGGAAGAGTCGAAAAATATCTGAACGCTAAAGTTTAGTTAAAAGCATGCTACGTCATCCTAGGTCTTAAGTGCAGGTTTTAAATCACGTTTCATCTATAATCAAAATTAGAGAAATTCATACACTAGTTTCGTAATAAAATAGGTTTCACTCTCGCTCAAAACTAGAAAACTATAAACAAGCATAGGCATCTCAATTGTGTCTTTGAAACCTGATGAGATAATTCAATAGGTTGACAGCATTGATCGGATAGTGTTAGGGCCCTTTGTATTTCTAAAACTTCTTTTATTGGATAGAGCATTACTAGTTTATGAAAAAGAGTCAAACTAGAAATAATGAGGCTTTATTGCGAATTGCTACTTGATTGCAAAAAATGTGTCAAATTAGTATTAGATTGCAAAAAAGTTCCGGAGTACTTTCGGAAATTTCTACTTTCAATAGCCACAAATTTCATTGTATCGGCAATGTTGTCCACAACATATGCTTGTTCTGTCGGTTTTTCAGCACTTCGCTGCGAACCACCAGCATGCGCAGGAGGGGAAAAGGTCGGCGTGAAAACCGGCCTGTTTGTGCAGGATTACTTCGGCATGTTAAGCGCTAGAGAGCTCAGAAACTCTAGTTATCAAAGGAAGTTCCCACCAAACTGGGGGTATCTGGCTTTAGTAATAATGTGATAGGAGGCCCCCTACCTAATCGATGTCTGAAGTTCGGAGTGAAAAAGGGAGTCTACCAAGTTTGAAATTTGCTCCGAAAGTGGCCCGAATCTTACGGTAGGCCCGAATGCCGCCCACACAGCAATATTGATTGCAAGGCCAGAGTGCCTATAGCGCACACAATCGTGAGTGTGGGGACTCTGCGTCTCTCGATCTTGCATCCATCTCGTAGTCGCCCGAGCCTACCGTAAGATTCGGGCCATTTTCGGAGCAAAGTTCAGGGTTTGTAGACCCCCTTTACTTCAGTCATCGCTTAGGTAGGGGGTCTACTATTACATTACTACGAGAGCCAGATACCCTCAGTCTGGTGGGACACGGCCTTTAAGTAGTTCGATGAGTTCGTAGCGTTCTTATTTTCATCTTCATATTTTTGAGGGCGGTTGTTTTGCCGCAAGCTGCATATCTCATTTGAAAAGGCTGATTGTGCCCCTCATACGTCTACTGATTCCAGTGGAAAGCTGATTTAATCGAATCTCATAGCTTCCAAAAATGGAAATCTTAAAAGGTAAAAAAGGAGCAATTTCGACATTTGGGAATTTTTCCTTATGAAAGGAAGCGCCTTTTTACTAATTTTTCTGTCGGTTATGGAACATGGCGCTTGCACATCAATATGAGACAAAAAGGATTGGATTTATACAAAAGATCAGATGCTGAGCACGGTGTCCCTGAACAAGACTTTTCGGGGGACGAGCAGGAAGTCCTGCACTGAAAATTGCTGTACGACTAGGCGATGGTCTACCATACTGTAAGCAATCCAACTGCGCCATCTAAACTAGGTCCTACCGCATAAAAAGCCTAACAGGCAGATCCAGTGAGTTTTTCTGCATGACGAAAGATGCCTTCATACGGCAAACGTCGTAAAAACTGTCCTGCACGATCTAAGTGGAAGGTGATTCAGTACCCAACGTACTCTCCAAATCTTGCTTGATCAGGTTACTTGCTGGCTTACCCGGCTCCGCCCGGCACTGTCAACGCTGTGATTAAGGTCTTATCCCTATTCCTTAGAACCTTTCATTGTGCCCACTTCTACATGTAATTCCCGGGTGGAGGAACGAACACCTCAATTAGGCACCGCCTCCGCGGACTACCGGTCCTAACACGACATACAACAGTAGGACGAAAAGGACCAGCAGACCACGGAGGCGATGCCTAATTGAGGCGTTCGTTCCTCTACCCTGTAATTCCCTATTCCCGCTGTGTTAGTAATTAGCATGCCCACCTACCTCCCTCAACAATTCCCAGCCCCGTAGCTCAAACTTTGCAAAAAAAGCAATAAAACCGGTAAAAGTAAGGATTATTCTGAAAACTGATGGCGCTATTCAGCTATCCGGCCCCAAAATGTTTTTATGATGGATCTTGCTCAAAGTCGGTACATGGGGATTATTAAAGCCGCTGTTGACGAATATCGTAGCCATTTCGCGCGATATAGCGTCATTTTCTGGGTTTACGTTGGGTACACATAAGAAGCTAAAATCGTGGATTTCGCTGAAACTTTGAGGGGGGCTAATTGACATGCTGATTACGAATATCATACTCCTTTGGCATTTTGAGGCGATTTCACTGAGTTATGATAGATATACTGCAGAGGGGCGAAATCTCAGTTTTGGCTGAAACTCGGTTTAGAGATATTCGACCTTCTGACCACGTCTGAAACACTCTCATTGCGTTTTGAGACCTTTTCGCAGAGTTACGGTAGGTACATGGCGGCGGGTAAAAATCATGAACCTGCCTGAAACTTTGGCAGAAAATTACCTAAATTGCTGCTTCAAGAATATCGTGCTCAATCCCCACGATAAAGGCAATTCGTGTGGTATAAAAGTTCCCCACGACCGTAATGCTTTCCCTTATAGGACCACTGCCGCGCGCGAGAAACCTTCGGCGGCTTTTGTCTAAGCAAGAACAGGGGAAGGAGTTTTGCCGCGTGCGTTACGCGTTGGGAAGGTTATCAGGATGGCGCTGGAGACCGCCGTGCAAAACGAACGTTTCCCCATCTCTTGAATATCTGGGATCAATTGGCCCGAAAGCGAAGAAATGTCCATTCAAACCCTGCAACTCACTATAACTTCACTATTGCGTTATGACAGCGAGCAAGCATCATATTCATAAGCGATTTACTTGTGAACCGTTACAGGTAAGGCTTTGAGCAAATCCGGAACTTCGACTCATCTACACTTGCCGTAACTCAAGAAAATGCACTATCCTTCGAAATCAGCATGATATTCATGTTCAGCGCACTAAATGACCACCCTAGACGAAGTTCAAAGCAAATCTATGTTTTCGACCCCTGCCACATAACCACCACAACTCTATGAAAAGGTCCCAATATGCAGAGAGAGATGATATTCGTATGATGTTCGATTGAGATGAGATTTTGGATTTTTCGGGCTTGTAGAACTTAGATTTTGGTCTTTAAAGGCAGTGGATCGGCAAAACTTAACAACTCAGAATTTTAGCGCGATAGATTCCTTATCGCCCAAGTATGAAAATAGTACAATCCTGGTTGCACAGCATGCCTTCCCTGCCAAGAAAATGGCTCTCAAACTTACACGCGCAGGCCAATCTTACACGCTCCAGGACGAGTTCGCAATTTCCTCCTCACCATTCGAGGCTGCCCACCGCAATGCTATAATCATTGGGTCCCGGGACGGTCCAGCATCATCAGCCTTGCGCCACTCGTCCAATTCGAAGGAAAGAGCATTGAAAAACGCTCCTTTTCTCCGTTTTCAAACTTGCAGAGGATTTTCGCGATCAGCGTATTGAATAACCCCAGGTAAGTGAAAATTTGACTAGCTTGACATTTGCCGAGCCACTGCCTTTAAATCGCACATGGACGAACTTGGCTCAAGGTTTCAAATACCTAGTAGAGCTTGCTGTCCTCTACAGAAGAGTGTCTCTTTGACGGTTCCGGTACTCGCTTTATTCCAAGATAAGGGAAAAACAAAAAAAGAAAACATTCTCTAGGTGAAAACGAAAAATGGCCAGAAATGGAAGCGTTCAATCTAGAGAAGTCGCAACAGTTAGATGCAGCATCAAATGGCTACAAATCTTTCTTATTTGCCCAACGCTTTCGTGAAAGGCTGAAGCTATTATAAGCCCTAATATTGCTAATGAATGCCGCGTAAAAAGTGCAAGTTGGCCATACGGAGCCATTTTTCAAAGGCAGCGTCCGGGGGAAAAGTCGATTTCAAGATTTTGTGCTTAACCCATTCGATATGTTGAATTCGAATGTCCACATGAGGAACGTGAAAAAGCGAATTTGAGATTTTGTGCTCACCCCAGGGCTTTCCCTGTTGTGAACTCACTTCCTAGCTTCCGGAGCGCTCTTCTCGATCCCGCTAACCGCCCTAACATCGCCTTCGGTGCGAACGCCTGACCTCAATTTGGAACTGACAATGAGGACATCACTCCGGAAGCTGAGAGCGCAAATTCACGTTTTATGCTACAGGTAATGGTATACAGCTTGTTTGGATCGGATACTTCAGTTCCTGATTTCCTTGTTAGTAAATCTTTATATATAAAGCAAAAAATCTGTACGTCTGCGCACATTCTCAATAGTCATGAAGGATGAGCGGTGAAGCTCATTTTGAACTGCTGGTCGTCAAGACATGGTAGAGACGGATGAACCCAAGACAAGTTTGAATTAAAAGAAGGATAAGCCGCGTCACATGAGTGGTCAAGCACAATAAACCGACTGTAAACCGGGTTGGGACGCGGGACGCCAGCTCGTTTCTTATAAACGTTTTTGAACAGCCTTCATTATTTGGCATTTGAGGTATGTATTAGGTTGTTACATAAGTCTTGTTACACTTTAACTTCTTACGACGGTAAGTCGTGAACTCGTATTTTCAATAGGACTCCAGAGAACCATTCGATAGAGCAAAACAAGCTCTACAAGATGGTATACAAAAGTCCGCACCCGCTTCGATCCACCATGAGTTTGCATCCAGAATTTGAGTCGTATTAAAGGCTGAAAAAAATCGCGAAGAATTCATATCTTCGTTTAGAAGAGACCTACGAATCTCCAACTTGCTCACAAAAATTGCACACTATGCCAGACACTCATAGATATCGTTGTTCTATTTTTTCCTCGTCTAGAAATCGAAAAAACGAAAATTTTCAAGTTTTCGCAAAAACGAAGCT